TAAACTTTGTATAAGTCAATTTCAATGACTATATTTTTTAATAAGCCTACTAAACCAGACTAGATGGCATAAGCGAATCTTTCCAAGTCCCTGATCCACTTTTCTCAAGTCTCCGAGTGATTATTTTTATATCAGAATTAGTACATTTTATTATAATAACTTGTTATCTACCTTTTTGATCAGTCCCAATTGAGCAATCTAATAAGGCTAGTCTAACTTATTTGAATATCTCATAATAACTTATTTGACACATGGTAATCATGAACTATTTTTTTATTAAGGTGTACACAGTTTGCCAATGGCCCATCGATCTTCTACTTCATCTCCAGATCGGTCAAGACTTGGCGATAGTGATCTCTCAGTTGGAAAAATGGGTGAGGATGAGGAAGGTTGCCAGGATGGCGAGCTTCTTAACAATCTTGCTGAGTTAGAAGAAGACGAGAATGAAAAAAAAGAACCAGATGTCCGCAGAGAAAGAGATGGGGGAATTGAAATTAGCGATACTGAAGAGTCCGTAGCTCCGAAAGAGCTAAACCAAGTCCAGAGAAGTCTCTGTCCATCAGTAAATCTGGAGGTGAGTGGTAGCGATTTGCTGGAGCCTTTTGCGCGTCCCACTCTTGCCCCATCTCGATATGCTCACTTTGCCTGTGGTCCAGGACATTCTGGTTCATCTTTAAATCAACGTGCATGTAAGGTTGATTCAGTGTCAGATGGTTCTTCCGTTTCTAACTCATACTCTGTATGCTTTGGCAGCAACAACAGCACCATTAACACAGTCACACCTTCCTTTTCCTCCTTCAATAATGTAACTGCGGCCACGTCTCCTGTCACCTCTCCTAAAAGGCACATTTGTATGATGCCTATCTCTTCTACCCGAGATTGTCGATTTCCTTCAGTCTCTTTTACTCAAGTTCCTAGTCGATCTTATCAGGCCGCTAATGCTTCCAACTCCACGTCATTTTGCAAATCGGTGCACCCCAACTCAGGAGTCAGAGTTCTGCTATCCACTCGTCTCAAAGAGCGCGCATTAAAACGCTCCTCTCCAGCAACTCTTGCTACCGCTTCGGCGAAACGGGCACAAACCAGTTCTGATGCACTTTTGGATAGGTCTCGACAACATATCAGATATAATCCAGTCATTATCAGAGACCCTAAAAACGATCCCTTTTCGATGGCGGCTGAAGTTTCAGATCAGGAAATGGAGACTGCTTCTGTATCTATTAAGGGAAAAGTTCAATTTAATGATATGAATGATAATGGCAGTGATCCTAATGACAGGGATTTCAAAGATGTGGTGGTGGAGGAAGAAGAAGTGAACAAGAAGAATGAAGGTAATCGGGAAAACACTCTTTTTGATGCTGCATTACCAGATTGCATAGGACACCGCTTCGACTCTCTTGATTCCAAGGAGGCCGTTGAATGTATGTTAGGCTCTGTTGAGAATGACTTACTTTCTCCTCCTGCATGCGCATCAACACGCTCTTTTATCGTCTCTGGCCAGCCTGATGTATGGCCTCTAAATTCATCCCACTGCTCTTCTCTTGTAACCACTCCTGCGATTCATTCCGTTGGCAGGGGTGGTAGTTTTTTCATGAGCAGTAAAATTCGTCGCATGACTAACCGCATATCTGTGGCATCTGAGAATCCTAACTTATCGGCTTTGATATCAGACAATCTTGACTCATGCCCTGCTACTTGTTCATCATCTTCTAATTCTACTACAACAGCTTCTACCGCCTCTATGATGAATACTGAAATTGGTGCATCTGAATCCGAAGCCTCATTTGTTTGTGGTAATTTAGCGAGATCCACTCGGGGTGCATTAGCTGGTTCAGGTTTCACCAAATGGTCAACGTCAATTCAGCATCCTGTCCATAAGAGCTTTCGTTCGTCAACACGCCGTTCCATTTCAGCCGAGCGACATTCTACAATCTGCTCAAGCGATTCTGTACCTGATTCTGCCGTTTCTCACCTTCCTATTGCTGCATTGCCTAAATCCCATGGCCAATCTCTTATTGGTAAGATCTTAAGTTAATTGGTAAATTCTGATGCACTTAACTAACATTTTTCGTCAATTTCACTGTTAGATGGATTTAATTTTGGCCCTTAATTTTCTTTGTTATGAAATTTTATTTCGCATTTCGTACCAAACTTTATGCCTTTTAGGTATATTTTTCTAAGGTCAAATCCAACATATATATATATATATATATATTCTGTCTACATATCTATCATTTGTTTGCAGTAAACTAAATTGTGCCACCACTGGGCCGAAGCTTTGTCACTTTGCAATAGTCTCCATCATCGTTTTATTTCATCCCTTGATTATTTGTTCTATGCAATTTTGTCGTTAAATTGTCCAAATTTGGTACGGTTCTTCCTATAATTGAAAACTCCAGAACAGGTCATTTTTTAAACATATACAAAATTGTCATCGTGCTAGTGATAGCCTTCATTGAGGACATGCGTGCGAACATTACTTTAGTGCAGGAAAGTGCATTTTATAGTTGACCTGATATTATTAATCAGAATCGCTTCAAAGGCACCATGACTACTTGAAATATACTTTTTAACTCATAGCCATGAGGACTAGGATGGTGTGGTGTTTGATCGCAGTATCCATTAACTTCAGTGTTGGTTCGGGCTCATTCTCGCAACCTGGTTGGAGCGTCAGGGAGACCTTGTGGAACGCACCCAGTTATGTGTCCTCAGCTATAGCATTCGTGACCATTGACTTGGTACATTCCCAAAAGTTTCGCTGATATCGTCTGTGAGAGACGACATCGTTATCACATAGTTACAACGTATCGACTTCTTGATAAATCAAAGAAAACAATAATACGATTTCCCTGACGATCCGACCAGTATGTGAAAACGAGGTCGAGCTAACACTATACTTTTTTATTTGTCTGCTGCCCTTTGACTGATATTACCCAGCAAGATATTTAGGTCTCAAGTTGGAATTTATTCATTTAAAGTTAGATTAGAAATCTTAAATAAAATTGTTAGGTCGCTTAAGGTGATATAGAAACTGATAGTTTAATTCTTCCCTTCAAGGATATGAGATCAGCTCATTTTAATATTCGTTTTATTTCTGTATTATTAAAGGCGTTTGAATTTTAGTAGGAAGGCCCAGGCATATCCTATATCGCATTTATAGTTGCAATCTCCATGAGGTAAACTTGTGATTTGCTATTACAATCGCCTACTTTACTCTTATTTGTTTAGAGTAAGTTTAGAAACCGTTAGTAAATCTTGATTAAGAGTCCCATCAACGTATAACACATGTTTTCCTCTTCGATATTTCTGTTGTAAATGTGACATATGGAAGGGTCGGTCTTCTTGAAATTAACATCTGCTCTGTAAACCAGAGGTACTCATGGCAATGATGTAGTGAGAACATGTTAAGATTCTGCGCTACACTACTCAGGGTCGAGTCTCGGTGAGAGTGGGAGGTCGAAGCTACTATCAACCTTGGATGAGAGTACTTTTTTAGAAGCAAGGCTATGTGAAATCTAATGGGAACATGAGGGCTACTCCTAACTTTTAAAAGAAATTCGACTATAGTCCTATATCACCTCAAGCGTAAATTGTACTCATCAAAAATACTAGTCGCATAGTGAAAAATAGAGAAAGACAACAAATTTTATATTAAGTTGATCACATGGGGTCAAACGAAATTCTTTGCACTATATGCCAGAAGTCTATTATTCGAAAATGTAGTCATTTTTCACTTGTAGAGAAACCAATGGATACGGCTATATATAATAATGATAATTAGAAATAATTTGAATTCCCTAAGCCCTAAGGATATGGAGACATCACTATTTTACATAATAACTACGAAAATACCATTTTTTGCCTCCAGAGTATTCAAGAACTGAACAATTTATGCTCTACTGACCTTTATATCCGTTTCAATTATTATGCGATTAGCAAAGCCTTTAGTATTTATTAATTATTCCATTATCCCTAGTTACTACTTGCTTGTACATCATCTCTTGGAAG